AGCCACCATATTACTTTTAAAAAGCCAAATGAAAAATAATTCTTAAATACCAGGGAATATTACCTTTGCTCTCCTAGAAGCATTTTTTCAAACTACATGAAAGCCAAATAATTATCTTTGTTTTGCCAATTAGACAAGTAAACAAGTTATTCTGTGATCTAAAGCAATTTGATATTGTGAAGTATGTACTACTATGCAAAACATTAAAGACCATGAGAGTATAGGATATTAGTAATTTCTCTGTTTGCTAAGAACTATAAAAGAAATATAAAAATACTGAATAGTTTCATACAAAGACTCAACAAAGAATTTTACTATCATGTAAGTTATATCCCTGACTCCCGGCAGATTTGGCAAATAAAAACAATACAAATAAATGCCAAGTCTCTGACCTCATCCCACGTCCACCAACCAGGTACCAGAGTTTGGGGGCTACTGTGCATTCAAAAGTCAGAATAGTTCAGATCTAGTCTAACCACAGGTCAGATCACTGCAGACCGGCCTGACAGCCCAGGTAATTATTCTGAAGCATCCTTGATCAAACACCTGTTAAGGGCCTCCTAACAATCCCAGGTTATTGATTTTATTCCCTTTCTCCAAAGAAAACCTATGGGATTAATCTGTGCAACTGATGGCCTTTACTCAAGCCACAGTAAGATGTCTGCTCTTCTACAGTTCAATAAAATGCAAGAACAAGGGAAGACAGCATATTTGTGGAATCCTTGTCAAAACTCCTCTACATTGAGCAGTCTTCTGTTTCTAGAGACTAATAGGGTACATGCTCTCTCAACTTGCCCCCAAAGAAGCAGACTTATGATCAGATGTCAGCTACAGTCTGCTTCTGCCCCAAAGCAGCTTTAGAGGCATCAGAACACTTCGCTCAATATTAAACAGACATCTATGACCCCCAGAACACCGCTGCACTTTGCTAGCAAACACCTCTGGGCAATCCTCGGAGTGCAAGTAAGCTTTGCAAGTCCAGGTCAGTCCTTTGAAGTTCAAAGTAAACCCCATTCCAGAGAAAGCCACAAAACAGTGGGTGATACTACACAGATGCTTCCCTCAGTCTTTTTTTGCAGTTTTTGGCAGGGGGTGTGTTTGAACCCACCACCTCTGAGGCAGGCTCCCTACTCCTTGAGCCAGAGGCCCTCTGTCTTAAATGAGGATCAACCAGCAGTCAGCCCTGCCTTAGGAAGCAACAGGGAGGTGAAATGTGAGTCTCCCCACATGCCCAGTATTCTTCCAGTCCTATCACCCCAAGATGAGCCACAAAACTGGAACCAACCAGACAGGACCCGGAAATCTCCCCAAGGATATTCAAGACTGGTGAGAGACCAGAATGGATTTAGAGGGCTCATTTGCATTCCAAGGACTTCTGCCAGCCACCTGTGCAGGCCAGTTTCAGTAGTTTCATTAATTTGAAATAAACGGCTCCCATACTGTCCATGACTAAACTGGGGGGTAGGGGGGGCACTTATCATTATTAAGGGGACTCATTGTTGGGGGGGAGAGAGGAGGAATGATGTCACAGGTCTCAGGCCTCCTGGCCCTGACACAGAAAACAGGTCAAGGCACATTTTTGGAACAGGGATGCTATTTGCATGTTGTTAGACATTTCCTGAAACACCCTCTCGACAGGGTATGAGAAATAGTTCATGCTCACCTTAACAAAAGAAAATCGTATAAGCCCAGTAATAATGGTAAATGCCACTTTACAGCATTTACCATTGTTGTCAATGCAGAATGCCTGCCTCATTTAAAACCAGATGCAGATAACTGTTTTCTAAAGAAGCCAGAAATTCAGACTTCCATGAAGTCTTCTAATTTGTAAATGTTTAAAGATGTTGTCAAATGCTATGTGAACAAAACACATTTTTCAACCAAAAACAGTCAGTAGGATGCTCTGTACTTCCTGTTAAAAGGCAGGTCACTTTGTGTTTTCTAATAATCTGACAGCGGGAATTTATGACAAGCAGACAGCACCAAATACCTGAGAGAGAAGGGGGCAGACAGGGAGAAGGAGATCAAAGACAAACTTCCAACTTCCTTCAGGATTTTGTCTAAGTCTCCCATCTCCTCCTCTTGCCCTCCTAAACTGTAGAAGTTAACACCCTGCATACAAAATTCAGAAATGAACTTAACATCATCATCGGGATCATTACCTTTGAAAGCTAGTCTGGAAATTTAGCCCTCAGGTTATTACACTGTTTCTAGAAGAACACATGATTCCAATTCCAAACAATGTATCTGAAAGGAACTTTTGGAACCCAAGCTGGAAATTCACCTTTATGCAGTCAGGTAGTTAGCCTCTCTGTGGCAAATACCACCATTCCACAAGTCAGCCAGTTTCAAAATGTCCCCAGTTTTAAAACTTCCTCAGTTTCAAAACTTCCTCAGTTTCAAAATCATTCTTATCTGTGTCTTCCTCCCTGCGCCCTTTCATTAGTCATTGTGTGTCGATAATTTTAAGAATGTGTCCCTGTCAATCCCACATGATTGCTCTAAGCCAACCTCTCATTATTCACACACAGACTGTTACCACCTCTGAATTGGTCCACTTGCCTTTTC